AGAGAGGCGCCATTGGTAAGGAATGATGTGAAAAGCATTGGGGGAATCAAGGAATACTTCCTGGAAGAAATGCCACAAGAGCAAGGTCTCCAAGATTGGTTAAGATCTCATGGAGCAAGAGATGCAAAGAATCACAGAGTGGTAGTAACAGCTGGTATTTATCAGGTGCCTGCTAAGCACCAGGCATTGTGCCAAGCACTTTCCCTGCCTTACCTTATTTAATCCTCATAACAATCTTATGCAGTAGGAGCTATTGTGATCTGGAATTTACAAATGGGAAAGCTAGGATTTGGTTACCACACTGCCCAAGGTTACACAGCGCCTGCTTGCAGAGTCAGGTAGAAAGAAGGCAGCTGACTTCATAAGCCATGCTCTTAACCACTGTTGGGTTCTACGTCCAAGCAGACGTGAGTCTCAGAGATGTATAGGGGCTGTGGGGTTTTTTTTGCAAATGACAGGTGTCCAGGGAAAGATACTACATGCAGTGTTAGAATCGGGCAGTGACTTAGTGCAAGTCAACCCATTCATTTTGTAAGTTAGGAAAGGGTGCCCCGTCACATAGTTGATAGTAGCAAAGCAAACTAAAGGTACATTTCTCAGGCAGCTCCCTTTCCATTGCGGACAATTGGAGGCCAAACGGAATTGGCCTTGGATGCCTTGCTAAGGAAGTCTGAACTATTTTAGCTCATTTTCACCATTTAAAGTGTACAATTCGATGACATTAGTGCACTCACAATGTTGTGCAACCACAACTACTGTCCATTTTCAAAACTTTTTTTATTATCCAAAACAGAAACTCTGTGTCCATTAAACAATAACTCCCCATTCCTCCTCTCCTGTTACATACCATTCTAGTTTCTGTCTCTATGAATTTGCCTATTCTAGGTACTTCATACATGTGGAATCATGATATTTGTCCTTTTGTATCTGGCTTATTTAATATGATGTTTTCAAGATTCACCCATATTGTAGCATTTGTTTTTTTTTTTTTTTTTTTTTTTTTTTATCCTCACCCGAGGATATTTTTCCATTTTTTGTACAGATAGAGTGGGAGGGAGAGAGAGGAAGAGAGAGAGAGAAACATCGACGTGAAGGGACACATCGAGTGGCTGCCACCGCACGACCAACCAGGGCCGGGATCAAACTGCAACCAAAGTACGTGCCCTTAGCGGGAACCGAACCCGGGTCTCTCCGGACCGCAGGCCGACGCTCTAACCGCTGAGCCAAACTGGCCAGGGCCATATTGTAGCATTTGTAATGGTAAAATACACATAATACTTATTATGTTAACCATTTTTAAGTGTACAGTTTAGTGAATTAACTACATTCATATTGTTGTGCAACTATCACCACCATCCATCTTCAGAACACTTTTCATCTTGAAAAACTAAAACTGGGGCCCTAGCCAGTTTAGAGCGCCGGCCCGCGGACCAGAGAGTCCTGAGTTCAGTTCCTGCTAAGGGCACATATCTCGGTTGCAGTTTGTCCATGGCCCTGGTTGGGGTCGTGTGGGTGGCAGCCAGTCAATGTGTCTCTCTCACATCGATGTTTCTCTCTCTCTTCCTCCCTCTCTCCCTCTCGTTCTGTCTGAATATGAATGCAAAAATGTCCTCGGGTGAGGATAAAGAACCAAACAAAACTAAACTAAAACTGGGTATCTATTAAACAATAACTTCCTCTTCCTTAACCCTCCAGCACCTGCCTACCAACTCACATTCTACTTTCTGTCTCTATGATTTTGACTACTCAGGTACCTGATATAAATGAAATTGTACAGTATTGTCTTATGTGACTGGCTTATTTCACTTAGTATAATGTCCTCAAGGTTCATCCATATTATAGCATATGTCAGAATTTCCCTTTCCAAGGCTGAATAATATTCCACTGCATGTATACACTACATTTTGTTTATCCATTTATCTGTTGATGGACATTTGAGTTGCTTGCACCTTATCTACTGTGAATAATGCTGTTATGAACTTGAGTGAACTTGAGTGCAAATACTGTTTTCAAGTATTTACTTATTTATTTTTCTTTTCTGGATAATATGGCAATTCTATTCGTCACTTTTTGAGGAAGTGTCATACTGCTTTTCACTGTGGTTGCATCATTTTACATTCCCACCAACAGGACACAACGGTTTTAATTTTTCCAGATTCTCACTAACACGTGTTATACTTCATTCCTTTCTTAAAAGAATGAGAACTATGCTAATGTATGCATACACCACATTTTTAAAATTCCATTAATTCCAGTTGATGGACATTTGGGATCTTTCCATCTTTTCGCTATTTTGAATAGTGTTGCTATGATCATTGGTGTACAATTATCTTAGTCCCTGCGTCCAGTTTTTCTTGGGAGTCGAACTGCTGGATCATAGAGTAATTCTATGTCTAACTTCTTGAGAAATCTATAGACTTTTAAGGAGGTCTGTGCTCTGTAACTTAGCTCTGGTCTTCCTCGCCTTCTTCTTGAACAGATATCCCGCGGGGGTGGGGGGACGTCTCCCTCCTTCCGGCTCCGCACTGCCCACCTCCCCCCCTTGGAGCTGCGAGGAAAGCATCTCTCTAAGGCTCTTCTCCACAGAGGTACAAACGTCTGAAATTCAGCTGACCCCGGTGTCCCGTGAGCCCTCCGGAGCCAGCGAGGTTTGGGTGGGTCCCTGCGTGTCCTGCGAGGGCCGTGTCCTGGGCAGGAGCCGAGGCTCCTCCCGGTTCTTTGAAATCTCTCCAGAGAAGAGGGCCGTGTCCGCCCACCCCGGCGGTGGCGCTGAGCTGACCAGGTGAGCCAGCCGAGAAGCCCTGGACCCTGGGCGGGCACATCCCTGCCAGATGGGCGCCCCTAGGGCAGAAGCCTCGCCGAGCCCTGCTCCGAGCGCGGGCGCCCTCGTTCCCGCCCGAGGCGGCGGTGGCGGACACTGAGCCCGGGGAACGCGCCCCCCGCCTGCCCGGCTCCCTCCGGGGTGTCCTAGCCGGAGCTGCCCGGGACGCCACCAGTCCCCAGTCGTGCGTGCCCGGGCGACTCCTAGGTCGCCGTGCTTCGGGCCGGACCCCGCGCACGCCTTGTGGAGCCACGCCAGTGCCTGGGTGCCCGAGGCCACTGGGCGGGGACAGCGAGTGCGAGGCGGCGCAGGGCAGGGTGGCCTCGCGGCGGAGCCGCCCTTCCTCGGATCGGCGGCGGCGGCACAAGCGCACCCCCTTCAGAGCCGGGAAAGAGGCCGGAGAAGGCGAGAAGAGAAAAGGGACCTGTCCTTTCCCTGCGGGCTTCTGCGAGAAGCGGCTTTTGTGCCCGGCCCGGAATAAAGAAACCCGGACCCGGACCTGAACCTGGACCCGGACCAGGACCGCCGGGCGCCGCAGGTACGGAGCGCGCCCTCCGGGAGATGCTCCGCCGGCCCCGCCGCGCAGGGGATTTGGCGTGGGGAGGGGGCTGTTCAAGAGACTCGCTCTCGAGCTCGTTCTTCAGGGGAGCCAGGCTCCCACTCTTGTCCCTGGGTGTAGCTTCGGAAACTCCGAGGACAAAGCTGGGAGCCGAGAGGGCTGATCAGCGGGGACTGCAGAGTGGTTTCCAGGGTTGGAAGGGGAGGGTCTGGCCAGGGTGGCAGCGCCAAATGGCAGGGTCCCCAGGGGACCCCGGATAGGAATGGGTTTCTTCTCTGAGATGTGAGAACTAAGGATTAAACATCGCTGGACAGTTTCCCCCCAAATTTTAAAATCTCTTAACACTCCTGCCCCACAAGAAGTTTTTATTACTCTTTGTTTTTAAAACCTGACTTTGAGCCTTCTGGGTGACACGCCTGTAGGGCGCCCCTCCAGAGGTGGCCGCCTCTAAGACTCAGGGCCTGCGGGGGGAGGGCGGCCCCACCTGGACTGCAGCTCTACCTGTCTGGGCTGCAAGCCTGGCCCCTCTGACCTTGCAGCTCTGGGTTCTGCTCCTTACACCCGACCAGGGCAAAGGGCAAAGGGCAAAGGGCAAAGGGCAAGGCCCGAGGGACAGAACTGAAGGCTCCGAGGAAGGAAAATAATCTGAGAAAACAGGGTGAGGAGCCGGGGAGAGAAGCAAGAATGGGGCTAAACTTTATTGGGGTACAGAGGGATTTTAACTTTGCCCCCCACCCACCCCAGACAAGCTCCAGATGTCTCACCTTTGAGGGACTGGGCAGCAGGCTTTCCTGGGGGTCCTAGGTGTCTTCCTTGTGTCTCCCTTTTCCAGGAACCTCAGGTTTTCCTGACATTTCCAGTGCTTTCCAGACCCCAACCTCTCTTTTACATCCTAGTAACCTGGTCTGATGTTTTCAGGCACTGTGAGCAACTGGGACTAGGGGAAGAGGACAAGGGACAGGGAACTTCCTCTTGTTCTTTGTCCCCAGCAGTGCAGCGGACAACCCCCTCCCCTCTCACCCCTCATCTACCCTGCAGCCCCATTGTATGGTGTGGCAGAGTCATCAGGGTTAGGATTTTCCTCCCCTTCTTCGAAGCTGACTGAGGAAGCCTGAACACTTGATAGTAATGCGTTGCAATTCTAGGGTGTAACATCCTCCCTCTCCAAGGAACCCCATGCCTCACAGACGTTATTGATCTCCTGCCTGGAGCATGTTGAAACTCTGAGTGTTTAAACTGTTTGCCTCAGGACACACACCCAGCCAAGGAAAGCTTTTTGCTCCAAAGCCCCCTTTCTAAGCCATTCAGTGATTAGGCTGTGACTTCTACCCCGTGACCTCTGCCTGGGGTCAACCCTTGGTAAATGCTGTGCCTGGTTTCTAGGGTCCACGCAGACTCGGGTGTGGAAATCAGAAGCCCAGAAAGGAGATGGGAAGTGGCTGCTAGGGAGGCTCTGTGACTTTAAAGCAGGGTTTTGCCAGAAGGGAGGAGACCAGCTCATGGAGAGCAGACAGGGTTGACTCAAACCCCTCCCTCTTCGATAGTTTTCAGAGTCGCTTTTTTTAAGAGACAGAATGATACAATTCGACAAGGACAAAGTGCAGGCTGTGAAGACAGGGAATGGAGTTTGGAGCAGGTCACTTGGCTTCTCTTCAGCCACCCCACACCCAACCTTGGTCCCTGAGAGAAAGTGCGACGTTGTGGAGTCTTCGGTGGAAGGGAGATAAACTGAGTCGGTGCCTGATGGTCTCTTCAGCAATCCCACCTGCCCTGGATGAGTGGGTATGTGGTTGTTAATCATTTCTTTTCTCTCACTGGTTTATTTATTTCCACTCTGTCACCCAGTCTTCACTCTGAGCAGGTAACTGATGGGTCTGCTTAGGTTACAGGATGGTTTTAAATTTGGCCAGGTTCACTCAGATATGTAGCCAACTGTTCGTATGTCTTTTCAAGGCTTAGGATGGAGCTCGGGTGCTGTACCTCCAGGATGCTGGCAGGGACCCTCTGACTCATTAAGGCAGAACTGAGTGTCAGCAAAGAGAGGAGACATCATCATCCCAGAGGACTTCCTAGCAGCATTGCTCAAAGTATCACCTGGCCAAGTAGAGATCACCGTGGGAGTCATGGATGAGAATGCCACCAACATCTCCACTGGCTTGCTTGCTGTGCTGGACCCCCAAGGAGCCCAAGCTGCTTCCTTCCCATTCAACTTCAGCTATGGCGACTATGATATGCCCTTGGATGAAGATGAGGATGTCACCAACTCTCGGACTTTCTTTGCTGCCAAGATTGTCATTGGCATGGCCCTGGTGGGCATCATGCTAGTCTGTGGCATTGGCAACTTCATCTTCATCACTGCCCTGGCCCGATACAAGAAGCTTCGCAACCTCACCAACCTACTCATCGCCAACCTGGCCGTCTCTGATTTCCTGGTGGCCATTGTCTGCTGCCCCTTTGAGATGGACTACTACGTGGTACGCCAGCTCTCCTGGGAGCATGGCCACATCCTGTGTGCCTCTGTCAACTACCTGCGTACTGTCTCTCTCTATGTCTCCACCAATGCCCTGCTGGCTATTGCCATTGACAGGTGAGTGAGGGGACAGAGGGGACAACAAAGGAAGGGGCATTGGAATTGCTAACTGCAGTTGTAATTGATGGGACATATCTATATTCGCCATAGATGTGGACTCACAATGGCTCAAAAGTTGGCCCCATTGCTTCTTGGCCTTTTGACTAAGATTAAGTGTAGTATCAAAAGTTAGCCCATTTACTGAACAGTGAGAAGGGTTCTAGATGTCCAGCTGTGGGCAGGCAGGAGGTAGCAGAGCCCCTGTGAGTTGGACAGTGGGAAGGCTCTGGGTCCCTCTGCTGTGGACATGCTCCTAGATGTTGTATCTGTTCAAGGTCTAGAGATAGACAGGTAAGAGGAGACCTGGAGGGACAAGATTAAATGCTAGGCAGGTACCTCTTGAATCAACTTGGATATCTTGAAGAAGGTTTCTATCTTATCAAGACTTCCTCTACTGAAACATGACCTCCTCCTCCCCGCTATCCCCACCAGCACCAGTTGATTTTAAAATAAGATTGAGGGATTTATTTTGGAAAAAAAAAAAAAAAGCCAACAAAACAAAATGAAACTAAAAGGGAACATATGCTTACTTACTCTTTCTAGTTGTATTGGTCAGCTTGTCCCTCCCTCTTCATACATTTGCATGCGGCAGCATAGACCTGTTTCTAGTGATGGTAAGCAAAATCAGCAAGAGCAACCTACGCAGAGCTCTCTGATGTTAGGCTTAGTCTTTTCATTTAGCATAATCACCTGTGCTAATGGCCAGGCTGGTTTTTGGTTTCCTCAGGACAATCTTTGCAAGCTCCTCTTCCCAAAGTTGGACTCTCTTTACAAAACACCTTGTTACAGTGTAGAGACAGTTACCTTGAGGATCAAATTAGGCCTGTGTGTACTTGGATCTGAACAGTCCGTCTCTGTACCTTAACCTAGAAAGCTGAAGCACAGATGTCCTCCCTGTTCCATGGCCTCAGGGCTCTGGTGGAGTTCAGCCTGCCCCTCATACTCAGGACACCCCAGGACAATGTTCCAGGGAGCAGCACAGCAAGTAGAAGCTGCCACCATCTTTCTTAGCAAAACAGCAGGTCATGTTCTGAAGTTTTGTTCTAGCAAGACATCTTTTCACAGGGGTGTTCTCAGCCACTGCCAGTGGGGTAGGTAGGTGCCTGCTGGGGGGTGGGACCCTGCTGTCTGGATGAAATCCATTTTGCCATGTGGGGGCCCATTGTCGAAAGGTGTAACTCTGTAGCAGGGAGTGACTTCAGGGGGGAGGGTAACAAGGGTAAGTTAACGGGCATTGGGTTGTTCTGAGCATGTAAGAGGTGAGATCCCAGCCCTTATCCTGCTTTCATACCAAACAATGCTTGTCTGAAAAACTGCAGGCATTTCTCTTGCAGTGTGTTCATGTGATGCAGTTTAGACACATGGAGAAAGATCAGTTGGGGACCCTGCCCGGCATCAGGGAGACTGCTGTTGTTTAGGGTGGGTCGTGAGCGAGAACTTGAGCCCAGACCCTGGAGGAAAGCACTGTCGCCTGCGCAGGGCCACCCGGTGGCCTTGGTCCACTGACTAGCTGCTCCAGTGCATCAAGTTGCTTTATTGATGTTTGTGATCTTTGCTTCCAATTGTTTTGTTTTTGTGTGTGTTTTTACTATCTAATTTCAGTTTAGTGGTCCAGGACCTCATATATTATTGTCTGGCTTCACGTGTTGTTCAGAAGTTGATCAGTGATTTTCAGGTTTGATTTGTTTAGTTTGGGGCAACTAATTTTTATCTTGATATAACAACATATCTACGGTTATAAAACCAACCACCTTTTAAAAAAATGAAATTTTTGTAGGAAAATAATGTTAGCTGTTTTTCTGCTTGGGTTTAAATTCCTGCTGTATCACCTATTAGCTGTAGGGCTTTATATTAGTTTTTTTTTTTTTACCTCATTCTCCCTCAATTTTCTCATGTATAAAATGGGAATAATAATAAAACTTCATTTTGAGGATTAAATGAAATAATAAATGTAATTGTTTGAACAATGTTTAACAAAGTAAACACTAAATAAACAGTGGATAGTATAGCTTGTGAATTAATCCTTAAAGGGATAATTTTAAAAAACCCTGGATAAATGAATGAATTTTTTTTTGTGTGTGTGTGTTATGTGCCCCTAGTGGGAACTGAACCCGGGACTCTGGTCTGCAGGCTGATGCCCAACCTCTGAGCCAAACTGGCCAGGGCAAATGAATGAATATTTCTGATTGGCTAACCTCTTTGTTCTCATTGAAGAGATTGTTTTAATGATGTGATTTTTGATTTTTAAATCTTCACCCAAAGATATGTGGTTTTTTTTTTTATCCTCACCCGAGGACACTTTTGCATTTATTCTCAGATAGAGCAGGAGGGAGAGAGGAAGGAAGAGAGAGAGAGAAATGCGGATGTGAGAAAGACACATCGACTGGTTGCCACCCACACAACCCCAAATGGGGCCGGGGACAAACTACAACTGAGGTATGTGCCCTTAGCAGGAAGTGAACCTGGGCCTCTATGGTCCACGGCCAACGCTCTAACTGCTGAGCCAAACTGGCCAGGGCTGTTTTTATTAATTTTATTTTTAGATAGAGGGAGAGAGAGAGAAACATCAATGTGAGAGAGAAACATTGGTTGATTGTCTCCTATACCTATCCTGACAGGGAATCAAACCCTCAACTTAGGTATGTGTCCTGAATGGGAATCAAACCAGCAACCCTTTGGTGTATGGGACAATGCTCTAACGAGCTGAGCCACCCGGCCAGGGCTTAATGATGTGATTTTAGAAATAAAATACATGGTTTGCTAAGAAACACAGCTATCAAGCTATAGTATAACAGAACTGTTGCTCCTCTACCCGCCTGACTCCTCTGTTTCTGTTATTGGTTCCATGGTTTTCCCAGGCATCTAAATAACAAGTGTCCTCTGTCCTGGCTGCTGTCTGCCTTTCTCCAGCATTCATTCCGTTCCCGGGGCCTGCCGACACCATGGCCTCCTTCCCGCCTGTTCTGCAGCGGTGGGCTCCCACAGCCTCCCCTTGGCCCTCCATGTTTCTTGGCTCTGCATTCTGCCTACCCTACTCCCCTCATAATCCACCCTGGACATACATTTCTTCATTCAAATAACGCATTTTTGTAGAGAGACTACATGTGACAGATACTATTCTAAGCACTGGGGATATGATGGTGAATAAAACAACAAAACGAAACAAACCCCTTGCCCTCATGGAGCTTACACCCATGGATGGATGGAGAGAGTGAACAGTTAGACAAACGAAAAGAAAGGTAATCCTAGAGCATGAGAAATGCTGAACAAAAGCAAACAAACAAGAACAAACACAAAAAACACTGAGTGACTGAGGGTGGCAGCTACCAGGTGTGGAGTCGGGGAAAGTGTATCTGAGAAAAAGACATTTGAACTCACCTCTGAATGATGGAAAAGAAAGAAAAGAGGCAGCCTTGTGGAGATTGGGAAAAAGCATTCCAGAGAAAGAGAATTATAAGTGCAAAGGCCCTGAGACAGGAACAAACCTGATAGGTTCTAGGAACAGAGAGAAGGCCCCTGTGGCCTACGGGAAGAAAGCAACAAGTAGCCAAATTAATCTCTTGTCTTGCATTCTCCCCTCTCTAGCTCTAAACACCTCTAATAACTCCATTGTCTACAACATATGCCTCAAGCCCCTTCGCCTGCTCTTGCAACCTTTCATTATTGAGCCCCAGGCTGTCTCCCAGTCTCATGCTGGGTAGACACCTTTATGTCCTGTTTTCCAAAAAAAGATTACAACCTTTTTGAAAAGTGTCACCATCACTGGCCACATTTCTATTTGCTCAGTGCCAGGAACTACTGAGAGTGAAGTTTCACTAAAATCCTAGGTGCCCAGAATTCACAGACAGGAAAAGCTTAAAAAAAATGTAAGACATGATCCTCAATCCTCACCTAGAGTGGGGTGGGGGGGTGGGGAGTGAGGTAACACTTATGAAACAGATAAAGGATAAAGTAAAAAATAAATTTTAAATGAAATTTAGAGAAGGGAGAGATCACCATGTACCTGAGTAGTCAAAGGAGGCTTCATGGAGGAGGGGGACTTTTAAGAGTCTTTTAACAAATGGTGATCAGTAAAGTAGAGGAAACATTTTCCAAGAGGAACAGCACAACAGCCTAGAAGTTGGAAGGCTTGAGGTATGAGGTCCCTTGCAGAGGTGTGTAGGGCAGAGGCAAGGAACGTATGGAAAGTAGAGATCAGAAAGGATAGGGTCGTATTCCAGACGATCTCAAAATCTACGCACAGGGAGTCAGACCTGATGGCAGCAGGAAACTGAAAACATCATCAGAAGACCCTGGCCCTCTGGGTCTGGGTTTTCTCTTCGACGTGGAGACACCAGAACTGTCCTTGAGATAAATCCCTCAGATACCAGCACGTGGGGCAGTGGGGTACTCTCCCTTCTTTTACCCCAAATCCAGGGGAAACTGGTCAGTCTGCCTGCCTATTGGCGGCTCTCCTCTTCTGTCTGAATGAGGCATGAGTAATCACACTCAGTCCTAGGTCTCACAAATGCTCCCCAGTGAGCTTATTGGTTGGACTTGGCTGGCTCAAGGAATAAGTCATGCAATCCCTGCCCATCCCATGACCAGCTTAGTAGCTGCTGCAACTTCCACTTCCATGGTTTGATCTGGGGCTAGGTCCTGGGGAGAGAGAGGGAGCCCAAATGCTCTTAGTTTAATCACCCAGCCCACTATCATCATATAATTACTGCCTGGGCATTTCTTAGTCTAGCAGCCTTCATTCTTTGTTCTCTGGGAAATGTTGGCTCTAAGTGGACCTGGACCTGAGCCAATGCAGTGGTAGACACACAGGGCAAGCCAAGGGCATACTCATAAGCAGAGAAAAGTAGCTGCCAATTGCCTGACTCCTTCTTGGAACATCAATAGATAGAAATCAAGTGTGATGGAGAGAAAAGAGAAGGACTGTTCAATGCCAAGAGGAGGGCAGGAGAAAGGGGTATTGCTGGCCCTGGTTGAAAAGGGAGGGGACAGATGGCAAATTTGAGAGCTCACTGGATTTGGAGCAAGATATGGATCGGTCTACATCATGGTTCTGTCCATTTCCAGCTGTGTTGGTTTCGGCAGGTTATTTAACCACTCCAAACCCCAATCTTTTCATCTGTAAAATAGATGTATTTGCTCTCTTACCCATTCTAATGAGAAAGTGGATTTGAAAATGTTCTGTAAATTGTAGTCTGCTTTAGAAGCAGTATTACTAATACTAGAGTTCTGAGTTTTGATCCTCGCATAGCCAAGGCGGGTGGCAATCCTTAAAACAATTTCTGCAATTTGCTTATTGGTAAATGTATTTGGAAGTCCTTTTGGTCAGTTCCTGGTGCTATTCCTGGGGATGGAGTTAGGGTGATGTCAGAGAAAGCCAGGATGAAATAACTATCTCTATCTGATGTGTAGTCACAGATTACACTGTAAATTAGTTTTGATGTGAAAATAAATAGAATCAATAAAATAGATCCAATAAAATAGAAAGTAGTAGAGCACTTTCAAATGCAATATTTGTTGAAAACAGGTGAAAGAAAATTGCTATGTATACAGAATAACTCTGAAAAAAATACATTTTAAAATGCTAACAATTTCTTGTGTATTAAGAGTCTGTTGTTGTTTACGTGCAGTGTCTGATTGGAGCCTCACAGTATCTGTGATATTGGTGAGGCAGGTGATGTCCCCATGTTACTGATGAGGAAATTGAGCCCACTGGACTAAACAAACAAACAAACAAACAAACAAAAGGCTTAAATTTGCATAACAAGTTTGTGGCAAAGCTGGAATTAGATTGTTTTTTTTAATCCTCACCCGAGGATATTTTTCCACTTTTTTGTACAGATAGAGTGGGAGGGAGAGAGAGGAAGGGAGAGAGAGAGAGAGAAACATCGACGTGAAGGGACATATCGAGTGGCTGCCACCCGCACGACCAACCAGGGCCGGGGACAAACTGCAACCGAAGTACGTGCCCTTAGTGGAAACCGAACCCAGGTCTCTCCGGACCGCAGGCCGACGCTCCAACCACTGAGCCAAACCGGCCAGGGCCAAAGCTGGAATTAGATTCTTGATCTTCTGACTCCTAGATTGACATGGTCTTCTACTTGCTCATTGAAAAACCACTTTGACTTTGCAACATTTTAAGGACATAGGCAGTTGCTATTGGAAAAAGAAGGAGTAGAATTACATAGTGAAAATTCATATACTAAACATGTATGAATATAGAAATACTCTTTGACAAAGTAATCAACAGAACTTGGTGGGGAAGATAGAGAGAGCTAGTGAGAGCGAAATCACTAAATTCTTAGCTTTTGTTATGAGTCAGAGCAAGTTTGGTGCACTCATTGTATGTAGCAGGAGCACCATGGTTTTTTGTGAAGGACCCGTACACGTGCTAACAAAGCACTGCCAACTCCCTGCAGACGCTGCCATTCCACCCTCCAGCACTCGAGATTGGCGAGAGTGCCAAGGTTTGTTGCTGGTGGTGGAACATGCCAGGCAGACAGCTGGGTGTTCAGAGGGTGGACCCAACCTATCCAACTTCATCTAATATCTCAGATCTATAAGACATATGGAGACTCACTCTAGTTAACTCTCCAAATGGTACTCAGTGGAGCTGGCTTCTTGGGTTGGGAGGTAGAGGGAGGGACAGAAACAACAGAAATATAATCAGAAGGAAAAAAAAAAAAAAAAGAATAAACCTTCTCTTCCAATCAAACTCCCAAGAAAGTTGACTTCGAAGGAATTGGTTTCAAAGGCAACAAAATTGGTTTGGCTTTCCTTCCCATCACATTTGCTCTTGGTTTTACCTGGAATAAGCAGTGGGCACGTGAGAATGTTTTCACTTCCAATGTTGATTAGTCATTCCCTCCCACTTCACTTTTTATCTTTCTCCTTCTCCGACATCCATCCCCTGCCAGACCGGAAAGTCTTCCAGGAAATCAAAGCTCTCTGCATAAACATGCACACTCTCTCTGGGAAGGAGGCTTTCATACAGCGCAAATGACATCACCCAGAAAGTGCTCTCTCTTTGCTCCTGGACCACTGTGGTCACAGCAGTGTGGTTTTTTTGGGGGGGCCGGGGCGGGGAGCAAAAGCAGTATCTTTTACTGTCTGGTTCTTGGTGGTTAAAAAATACACTCATGTATATTCTTAATTGATTTTCACATCAAACATGTGAGATAGGGTTATATGTTTTCTGCCCAGGGTCCTATGGTACATGACCTTGAGAAAGCCACTCATCTCTCACTGGCCTCTATTTTTCCACCTGAAAAGTAAAATAAATGATGATATGTTTTCTTCCCCCTTTGCATGCAGAGCAATGCTTTAAAAAATGTGGAATGAAGATAAACCTTTGCCCACTGCTTCCACTAGAAAGGGCAAGTTCTCCCAATAAGTCTTTGCAATTAGCAGGCCTTTTTAGCTCCAAACTGTGGGGTAATTAGGATGAATGGTCCTGAAAACAGGAAAGCCCTGGGAATGATGCCAGACTAGAAACTGATGTAAGGCATTATTATTGCATTTAATAATTATAGTTACCATTTTTTTTTAGTATATGCCAGGAATTGTGTATCCATTAGCATATTTAATCCTTAAAAACAAACAACTTTGGCAGATAAAACTGAAATTCAGAGAGATTAAACAAAACTTGCTTTAAGTGGCAACAGCTAATAAGGGATGGAACTGGAGTTCGAATTCAAGTCTGCCTTTCTTGAGAGCCCTTATACCATCGTGTTTTTCCTGCACACACACCATTCGGTTGCAAACATCTCATCATCCAGCACTTCCTTGTCACAGCGGTTGACCCATTCGTGTTCTTGTCCTAGATATCTGGTCATCGTCCACCCGCTGAGACCCCGGATGAAGTATCAAACAGCCACCGGCTTGATCGCCTTGGTGTGGGTGGTGTCCATCCTCATCGCCATCCCTTCCGCCTACTTCACAACGGAAACGGTTCTCATCATCGTCAAGAACCAGAAGAAGATCTTCTGTGGCCAGATCTGGCCAGTGGACCAGCAGATCTACTACAAGTCCTACTTCCTTTTCATCTTCGGCCTCGAGTTCGTGGTCCCGGTGCTCACCATGACCCTGTGCTACGCCAGGATCTCGCGGGAACTCTGGTTCAAGGCCGTCCCTGGTTTCCAGACGGAGCAGTTGCGGAAGCGGCTGCGCTGCCGCCGGAAGACGGTGCTGGTGCTCATGTGCGTCCTCACCGCCTACGTGCTGTGCTGGGCGCCCTTCTACGGCTTCAGCCTCGTGCGCGACTTCTTCCCCAACGTGTTCGTGAAGGAGAAACACTACCTCACCGCCTTCTACATCGTGGAGTGCATCGCCATGAGCAACAGCATGATCAACACCCTGTGCTTCGTGACTGTCAAGAACAACACCATCAAGTACTTCAAGAGGATCGTGCTGCTCCACTGGAAGTCATATAACGGGAGTAAGTCCAGTGCGGACCTTGATCTCAAAACCACGGGGGTGCCTGCCACGGAGGAGGTGGACTGCATCCGGCTGAAGTAACCCAGCGGACCAGTTTACGTGGGACCTTGGGGACGTTGACCCGTGTACTGAGATACACACTGTCAACCCAGAAGTCCTGGTTTGCCGCAGAGGGCAGAGTAAATGGACGACTGTGTGAACACTGTGCAAGGAGCTCAGATGTTCTAAAACGGATGCGACTAGGACGTCTGATTTGTGCAAAGAGGAGGCACTGGTGAAACCTAGATATGTCGATGACATTTAATGACCAAAAAGAAGTAGGGATTAAATCAAGAAAAATGTTGGGAAAGGACAGCCTGGAATAAGGAGGTTTCAGAAGGGAACCTGAGTAGGCATCTAGACTGTGTTTGTAGGTTGAGGGCCTCTCTGGACAGTCTCAGCTACTCAATCAGACACTGATGTAGCCGATCTCCAGGATTGTTCTTAGGCTTGATTTTCACTGCTAACATTTATGGGGTTGGAGCAAGAATACAAGGTAGCCTCCCAGTTCTTTCTTTAGCCCTTCTCATTTCTGGTCCTGACTCTCACTGTGAGGAGCCCTACACGTGTGCACATGGACACCTCAGTATGCATGGCCAAGTTCTGTCCAGATCCTCTTTCTCCAAATTGCCCCATGGCCACCCCTCAGGCTTAGGGCTGCACCCATATGTGGTGAAGCACACCATTGTAAGAATGGACCTAGGGGAGAAGACAAAAAGACCCTGGGAGCTATTTGGACAGGGAATTATGGGATTCTGGGTACCTGGAGCAAATCAAGAGGGGAAAGCCTGAGCTCAGGATGGTTATGTCCCCTTGGCTCAATGGACTTCTCACCCTCAGTGGGAGGGGTACAGGTAGAGGACCTCTGAAAGTGTGTGGGGCTTAGGGAAGGGGCTCAAGTTCTCTGGGTCTAAGAGTGATACTGCTTCCACCCCTCAGTTATTCTGACTTGGACCAGTTAGGCTTCCCCTTAAGTCCTTCTCGTGTCTCCATGCTTGTGAAGCATAGAGTCTTTGAAAGTAGACACAACACCTCATGAATGTGGCTGTCAGCCATTTTTTTATTCCCACCAGCTTTCACCCTTATTGGTATAATTTATGGGCAAGATGCCTTTGTCACTGGTGCCTGAATTCCATCATAGTCATCAATCCTTTGGATTAAAACTTGATCTATTTTTAAATGGAGGTACTTTTGGGAGACATAACCCATCACATTTCCACTCCTTCATGTGAATGAAATCATGCAATCCAGTGGCAGGGGGTGGTAGAGCCCTGGGCACCTAGGAAAGAAAGGGACATACAAATGGCCAGGGGGCTACAGTGAGATTCAGTGACTCCACGGGCTTATTGAGAGCTTGTCCCACTTTCTAATTGCCTTCTTTGTTTGGTGTTTTGAATTTTGGAATTTGAATTTTTGAGCCAGAAGATCTGATCCAGCTTTGGCTTTGTCACCTTTGTGAAGTCTCTTGGAGGGGATGAAGATAATACCTGGGATAGTTACCAAGGAGGTGGTTGTGAAGAGCCAATGAGATAATATGTGGAAAAAGTCTTTCAACTACACAAGTAATCGAAAGAGTAGACTGATAACTGTGTGCAATGTGCCTGGACAAGGAAAAACTTGTTAACTTGGCTTATTTATCTAGAAACCTCACTGTCTTTCCTTTTCATTATCCTTTGTATTAAATTGTTCCCTCACACCTCTCAGCAATGCTATATGCATTATGTTCATAAAAAGTTGGTACAACAAGGCAGTGAAATTGGGTGGCAGAAGTGTACATAAAGGGAAATAAATGGAATATTGGTTTCCAGTCAGAATACGAGCTCAGGGTTTTAGAAACTTCCAAATCAAAGCATCTTTGTGGTCATGGAAGTACAGACCCTCTTCCTATGCCTGTTCCCCAGCCACCATGAATCTGGTCCATGTGGCACTTGTTTCTCAATCTGTTTTGTTCTCATGAGTGTATATAGCTATAGAATTGACTTGTCCTTTTCTTCGTAAATAATTCTACAGCAAAACTTTTATAATGCTATTTAAGTGAAACCTATATGGGGTTTTCCCCTTCAAATGTAGTCAACTCTTTATTTTTGGTAGCAAAGTTTATTTTTTATAGTTACTTTATTTCCCTGGATGATAAATTTCAAAAATCTATTATTTTTTCATTCATCATGTAGCAGATTTACCCTACAGTTTAATCAGAATACTCTGAGGAAAAAAAAAACAAAAACACAACTAATTGAAATATTAGTCTAAATCCACTATGCCTTAGAAAACAATTCTTACTTTTTTTGTTGTTAATCCTCACCTGAGGATATTTTTTCCATTGATTTGTAGAGACAGTGGAAAGGAGGGAGGAAGAGAAAAAGAGCGAGAGAGCAACAGAAACATCGATTTGAGAGAGACATATTGGTTGCTTTTTGCACAGGTCTCGACCAGGGCTGGGGATGGAACCTGAAACCCAGGTATGTGCCCTTGACCAGGAATCGAACTTGAGACCTTTTGGTGCACAGGCCCATGCTTTAATCACTGAGTCACACTGGCCAGGGCCAATCTTACTCTTTATAAAATCATATATTGCATTATAAAATCAGAAAATTTAGCCTTTAGACTAAAATATAACAAAATGATATAATTTGTTGTCACTGTGTTTACCTTTTTCATTAAGAATGTTAAACAATAGTTGGCTATATTAAATAGGGGTTTTTTAGATGTGACAACCAAACCTCTTTGGCTTTTCAGCCTAAAATGTATCAATTTTTCACTCATTTATCTGTAATCTTTCTAGATACTGCATCTGCTTGTGATTTTACAGTGAATGAAATTGTATGTAGTTATCAAGTGAAATAAAAAAAATCATACACATAGAATCGCTCAACATAGTGTTTCTGTAATTTCCACTCCCCCATGTTTTTCCTAGTTACAGTGTGATGGTTCTTTGAGTGAAAACTGAATAAATGCTGATTCCATGATCAGATAAATTGTGAGAACAGTATTAACTCATGCTCATATTGCCCACAAACCTTTTTCCATCCTAAAGAGATTTAATTGATTTATATCTCTTCCTATAAGTCTTCTGTGCTAAAACCATTAATACTTCTTAGCATCTGAGTGCTGGGACTGAAAATCTGAGGACCTGTTATGCCTGTTATAAGCCAAGATTAAACCTGTGAACAGTAGTGTCTGCACATGCAAAGTGAACCAGGAGATGTCCCTACAACACTACGCCTTATTCAGGTTAGTGGCTGAGTCATTGAACCGAGGAGTAGCCTGCCCAGTTGATGGCTTCTCCAAAGACTTGTGGTAAGTCCACCAAGGTGACACTTGTCCTCGTGTGTTTCTTTTCTGTTCTCTACATAATTTCAATATGCAGAGAGAGATGCATATTGTCATTTGCAGGAGGATAAAGATGTGATTTTGTAAAGTCAAACCATTTCCATTAAAGTAGAAGAGGAAAACAGATTTACAACAATGCTTTTAGAAATTTTTCCTAATGAGTACACAGTTAAAAATAATTTCTTAAGTCAAAGAGAGTAAAGCCTGGCAATGTGATGGTCACCACAACAAGCCCTTAAGCATGAAACAAGTTCCATGTTCATTTTGGAAAAGAATGCCAAAGACTTTGTGAGATGGCCAGAAAATTATAAATATGAGCCTTGTTCCTTGAATACTATGATAAATTTTGGAATGTATCTACAAAGGATGATCCAACTCTCTTCCCTAGAGTATAAACGAGAATATCAAATTTAAGTTATTCATTTTATGATTGATAAAACTCAAGCCCAGAGTGGGGAAGAGATGTTCAAGGTCACACATCTGGTTACCATGGGAGCCAGGGTTAGACCCCCCCCCCCCAGGCTCCTGAAGCTCAGTCCAGGGTTCTTCTACCCTGGCATTTGTGGGTGCAGGGAGCATCAGTCTTGGAAAAGGAAGGATCCTTTCCAAGAATCCTTGAGATGACTATTCAAATGCAATCTGGCCCTCTCTGGAGACCCTTAAGGAGGTTAGCAGAAACATTCCTGATTCCTCTGTAAGCCAAGTTTAGTTCATCTTACTCCTGACACACACATGGAGACCAGGAGGTTTTAGAGAAGGACTGCTAAACAATATTTACCACTGCTCTTTCTTTACCTTGTCTAGTGGGGTCTTCAGGACTATAAAAGAAAAAATACTACACCTTGTTCATGAGAACAGTTGCCCTGCCCTAGGAAAGCAGAAGAGAGAGATAAAGAAGCCATTCTTGGCTGAATGTCCAGAATAGATTTCAGGCTTTTGTGTTCAGAATTCAGTGGTATCAGAAGACCACCTCCTGCTACTGCCAGCAAAGACATGAGAGGTCGAGGAAGCTTTTTGGATGAGATGGGACTTGAACTAGACAAGTGGGTACAAAGAAGCAAGAGGGCAAAACTCCACATGGGAAGAGAAACATTTTTTGAAAGATTTTTGTATTGATTTTTAGAAAGAGAGGAATGGAGAGGGAGAAAGAGAGAGAAACAGAGATGTGAGAGTGAAACAGTAATTGGCTGCCTCCTGCACGCCCCCACCTGGGGATCAAGTCAACAACCTGGGCAAGTGCCTTGACAGGGGAATTGAACAGGCAACCTTTCGGTGCACAGGATGATGCCCAACCAACTGAGCCACACCGGCCACCGCAGAGAAACATTTTTTTTTTATCTGCTCCTGGACAATGAAATTGATTTTTCCTGGGGGAAAAGACTTCTCACACAGTGAAGGGATTTTCATCCCTGACAGAGGTAACCAAAAAACTGAAAAACACACCAAGACATAAGAAATATTAGAACTGTATCTGAGAGTGGGTTTTGATATGAGGAGGGGGAGGAAAGAAGGAGACACAGAAACTAGCCTTAGGAAGCTTGTCTGTATGACTGGGTGAGGGAGGCATCTCATAACTGGGAAAAAAAATAAGAGAAAGGTTGCAGAGGAGGAAGTTGTTGAAAACAGATTCAGCTGACTATAACCCCAGCAGCAAGGAGAAAGCGCCATGTTCAGGGGCTGAGACAAGCACTTTACAGGAGTGATCTCACTCG